ACCTAATATCGGCGCTTGGGTGTATGTCCATAGATTAAACCAATTTTTGTTATAAACCTCGGGGAGCAACCTAAGTCGTATACCATGGGACCGGTATCCTGCATGACGAACGTGGAACTGAAATTTACCTATTCTGGTCTACCCGTGATTAAGCTCTCAATTACTGCATACGTAGCCATAAGACACCACACGCAAACACAACTTAAGGGGCCAACGGCTTCAAGACTCATAATAAGTAAATGGTTCTATAGGCCATTTAAGTCCCACACTACCACCTGACCTATTAGGGTATAAAAGGACGCTGACAGCCACTAGGCCATTATTTCAAAACCTCTCCTTTTCATCATCCATCCGACCTCCATCCGATCCGCATATACCACGTACGCATACCACGGTCGCTTCTTTTTCTTTCCTTAAATAACACTTATTGGGCATTATTCCTCCCCTTTTTCTTAAATCAACTAACACTTATTGGGCTGTTTTAGGCTACGGCGAGCTACCTAAGGTAACCGTTAAAGCCGCTACCTCTTCCTATAGCCACGTATACCCTAAGGCAGCTCACCTTGCCCAATATACGCGATAAACCCATTACCTACCTCCTTAGGACTTTAATGTGCACTATAGACAGCACCCAAAATTTTTCAGTTATGTAGCCATCGCATCATATCGTATCTCAAAGATGAGTACAGAATTTGGAAAAGGGACGTTTGATGTATTAATTAATCTTAGTAAACGAATGATGAGTGCCCTCTTGACACTGGCTTTCATATGCACAATATCTTGACTCAGCTAGCGGGGCCGAGATAAGACCCATAAATCCTCGGAGCTCCGTATATAATCACCGGTATCCTACGGAAATGCGTCGAGCCAGGGGTGAACTTATAGATGTTCGCTGCTAACCACGACGGCAATCACTCAGCCACCAACTACCCCTGCAAGCCAACAAGCCGGGAGTTAGGTAACAACAACACCATTTATTTGCCAATGACTCTAAATCACTTGATATTTAGTTGAGTAAAATAACAAGATAGTTAGATAGATACCTGATTATTAGACGCCAAGGCTATCCACCAACAAGTGTTGTGCGGCTTATAGTTATGTGGCAGTGTGGATGTGTTTTGATAGTGGCCCGCTTGCCTTCTTCAATATCGCCCGTCCAACCCTTGGTGCGCGAAGTCTGGCTTCGTAGACGAAGGGGGTGGGCATTTCTTATTTCTGGGCATTCCTACTCCAGGACTTCGGCGATTCGGCCCTGAGGCTCATTGATCCTTGGCTGGTGTGCACTCAGGCTCGCGATGGTAAGCCCGCAGCACCTAGTCCTCGAGGAGATGTCCACAAGTGGCACAAGACATTCTCAAAGGCTGTTGACTGCACAAAGAGTGTTCGAATAGGATGTTGGGCTATATTTCGACGTACTAGACCGTATGATAGGAGCAAGAAAGAGACCGGAGAAACTAATTGACACGGGTTCATCCGACTTGGGGTGATTAGAGGAGGATGCGTTTAATGTGAGGCCACGCATATTTCGTTGCGAACATCTTGCACAGCACATACTTATGCTGAAAAAATAAAATTTGCGAAAGGGTGGAACACCGTCTGTAACTCCTATACTATCATAGCCAATACACGGAACCCCTAGATAATGCCAAACCCGGTCATCACTTACTTGGAACTAACTTCAATTTGCATATCCCCTTTGTCACGCCCCGCACGCCCCCGACCCCAATATCTAGCTTCTCATCCGGGAGACTAGATACGGGGTGGCCCCAAGCTTTGACATTGGTGGCATCATGCCTGAATCTCTCTAAGAAGTATCTGGAGAGTTGAACCGCTTCGATACCGCGAGGAATCATCTCCGCGTAAAACTTAGTCAATGCGCGATACAGCGCTGCATCGTCCGGTGTCTCTAGTTCACATATGAGCTTGCCTAAGCTGAGCGCATCGCGCATGGCATGGACGCCGCCCTCGGCTTTGTACGGCGTCATCGGGTGTACGGCATCTCCGAGAATCGTCGCCCTCCCGAGCGGTATGGCGTCGATCTGCGCATCTGCTGGTACCCACCCGATATCCCGAATGCCGTCCACGGGTGTCTCCTGGATGATCTGCCTGAACTTGGGATCCATGTGCTCGGTCATCTTTAGGGCTATGTCGAGACGCTCTTGCTTCGAATATGTATTTACCGATATTCGACCGGTGTGCTGAGCAAGCGGGTCGTGCCAGGAGATAACCCAGAAGAATTCGCCCGATTGGCCGTCCGGGAACACCTTGGTTAACCCGTGGAATAGGTTGTTCCAGTTATCGCCGGTGGTGATCGGGATGATCGCCATGCTGTGAGCGATTTCTAATTGGCGCTCGAAGGACTTTCCACTCAGCTTAGTTTCCCCGGTAATCGAACTGATCGGGATGTTCTTGAGGATATCTGTGTTTGGTATTCCGAGGATGTGCTCTCTCACTACGCCAGCGTTAGGCAATCTACATTCCGCAGATACCAGGAGCAATAAAGACCAAGCGTTGAGGCTCACCTATACTATTTGCGCCATCAGCACCCACGACAATGTCGCCGGTTGTGCTGGTACCGTTCTGAAAGGTGACAATCATCTCGCTACCTGATCTCTCGATCTTGCTAGCTACCTTGCCATACTGAACGTTGATATTCGTAGTCAGCCATGACCGGAGCCGTAGTCGATTGGCCCTCAGGGTGGGTGCTGACGGGGTACTCTCTACTCCAAGGCGATCATTGTGAAAATAGAAGACGACTTGAGTTTCTAGATCCAATGGGTTGAGGTGGTGGACAGACTCCCTAAAGTTAGGCATGTCATCCGGAAAGGATGTTAATAGATCATCCAACACACTGGAGAATACGAAATCTTAGATCCCATTACGATATTGGTCAGTTGAGCGGATTTTATACTCACCTGTGCATAGTCAGGGACCAGCCCTGAGCTCTCGACACCTCATGCTCATCTCGCTCGAAGATCTCGTAAGGAATGTCGCTCTTGCGAAATATCTGAGCAAGAGTCAGGCCTCCGAGACCAGCTCCGATGATTAACACTTTCGGCTTATAAGCCGTGGTAACTTTGATTGTTCCATGCATTTTTCTTAATACGATATTGCTACCTCCCGAAGAAGTTTCAAGGCAGCTCCAGATCAACGACGAGCCATGGAGCCCCCCCTTTTGTATTCCCATCTATTCCTACAGTTAACGCATGTGACATGCAAGGAGAATCCTATTATTGGCCACCTAAGCTATTAAGTTAATCAGTGGCATATCATTTTTTCGAACATTCGGTGGCGGAGTATCTTGATACCTACGCCTCGGCCGAATATGTTGATGGTAACCAATCGCTCGAATCCTTAGGCGACCTCCAACTACCAATGTATTCGCCTTCCCTTCAAGCCCCGATAAGCAAAGGAGCTTTATGGAGCTGATGCAGGCGAGAATCCTAGCGATACCGAACTGTAGTGCTGTGCCCAATGATGCGGTATATTGGCAGTTACTCAACCTTCAGTTACTCCGTCTTACACGCTTTTAAAACAGTACATACGTTTTCATGAAAAGCGAGCGGACATTAGTTGAATAGTTCAACGGCGCTACCGGAACGGCGCTCAGCCGCACGAACGCTGTGCATTCACTGTGTGATACCCATACGTAACAGCGACATTGTTGTGGCACATATGGAGTCCTTGTGTGCCCGGTGAGCGACCAAATATAGTACTCAATACACTCGACCGAGAGGGAACCCGTAGCAATATGAATTACGAATTTCGTTATACTGTTTAGTATTCATTCGAATTTGAACATGTTAGGGCGATCTGTCACAACGCCTTATTTTCAGCCCCTTTATATATGTGTTTCACCGACCCGACCTAGAGCTGCACGTCTTCTAGTTCTTACCCGCCCTACCTGCAATGCAAATGTCAGGAGAATCTACACGTGTAAGCTCATGCTAAGTATACATAGTACATTGAAGCCTCAAACAAGAATATCGTGTTGGTGGGATGGCGAGGCGCCTGTATCGATCACGTCAGCGCAATGACTGATTAATATGTGCATGAGCATTAGTATATACTTCTTCTATGTGGGCTAACGAGATCAAAATATATGCCTAGGTAATTGAATCACATATGTGAACACGGCCTAATCCGTGCTACGATTTTATATACACAGAAAAAATAACACGTTCATGAGGAGGAATGCATGTCTTAGTCATAACGATAAATTAATATGTCTAATCTGTCAATACAGTTTTCCAACAGCGTATCACAACATCTCGGCCGTTTGCTATTAAGCCCTATTAAACCGTGATGCTCTACTCCAAACAGTAGCACTGCAACGGTTTTTAACATAGATAAACAGTAGGGGTCTCACACATTGACTTATTCGACAGGCACACATGATGTCTTATACGTGTCGTCGCCTTGAGAGTGTATCGCGATAGAAGGCTGGCCGGCGCCACAAAGAGCCGCTGTCTCGATATTATATCAAGTATAATATGATGTCACATATAGTAGACCAGGGAGTGGACTGTAGCTCATAACAACATGCTTCTGATGCAGGATCGACGACAGGAGACATTCAATAACCTCAAGAACTAATATTGCAAACTTTTGCATATAATGAGAGATGAGTTGTCTTCGCCACCTACGTGGAAGGCATTAAGGGCAATTAGACATATCATTTTACTAGCGGTTAACTACAGCTGAACATTTATTGATATCACTAACTTTTCTACTATAATATATTTAGAACTATGAGCATAGTTAGTTTACTTTTTATTATTAGTCGCAGCCGTTAAGTTTAAACTTAACGCAGTTTAGGCAATAATGTCTTTAATTATTATAATAATATAAGACAACTATTACATATTTTAAATGCTATAAGATTTTCTCAAAACTAGTAATAATAAACCATCCCTTATACAACGTCAAATGTTAAAGAAATGATGCAGAAAAAGGATAGTCAAGACGGAGGGTAAAAATCAAGAAAATCAAAAGAGAAACTCCGAATCGGGGAATCGAACCCCGGGCTTGACGGATCTTAGTTGAGAGCGTCAAATGTTAGCCACTACACCAATTCGGATTGCTATGACATCAACTTTCTTATTAATATTTATATCGGTTGGACTCAGATTTGGTGCCACCCCCACTATGCACATAGCCGATACTTGCATCGTTAGATGAATGAGGTTAGAGGCCTAAATTTGGAGGCTTTATAGAAACAGTCTTTCCCTCCTAGACATCGTGCTATAACAAGTTATAGACGTAATACCTAGGTAATGTGTTGCAAAAAGCCGTGCGATGTAGGCATGCCGAAGAGGTCATTCAGTCCAAAGTAATGGCTCAAAGTGTTTATTCCAATTCATCGCCGCTGATCGACCCCATCTATATGCAATCTTCCATCCCAAATACGCTTTTTGTCTCATCCAATGCCATGCCGTGCTGGTTACAATGCCCAGGAACCTATCTACAATGAAGAAAAACCGTGGTTCGGAATCTGCATCCCGCTATGAGGTATAGCCAGCCGCGATATCGGCGGCGGTAGCCTCGGCATACTTGCTGGAGGCAACGGACACGGTAGGGAGGAAACCCTGGGGGTTGACACTGCCACCCGTAGTCAGGGCAGCTTCGGCAGTCCTGTTGATGCCGATTGTGATCTGTGTGGCGGTTAGCCCTGATGCGTACTTGGGTACCTGACTAGGGAGCGAAAAGAATAGGTAACTCACGTATCCGACTAGTCCGTCGGCAAGATTGGCGCCGATCTGCTCAACGCTGACAACTGCACCATAGCCGTCGGCGTTCGCAGTGCTGAAGAGGCTGTCGTCGGAATTCGTGACACGGTCTAGGGTTGCGAGATGCGCCGAGTACGGCTCCAGCGCGTAGATGGAGTTGATCAGATCCTCCTCGAAGAAGACCTGTCCGAGGTGCTGCACGCTGCTCGCCGAGTAGCTGGTGCCATTCCTGATATCGGTCTGGACGGTGACGTGGACGTGCGTGGTACGAGAGGTGTAGTAGCCCGGGAACTTGGTCAGGAATTCGACCATGCCGTTCTGGTCCGAGATCTGGACCCCACGGAGGAAGGTCTCGTCATCGGTGGTCCCGTCGTCGCGCTTCGTCCAGCCATCGAGCAACTCGACCGTGTCGGGGTTCACCCCGGTGAATCCCGAGTAAAAACCCGAGGCATTGCAGTTCCAGATGGTGAGGGCCGCGCCGGACAAAGGCTCGCATGTGTCGACGTCGATAAGGCCGATGTCCATGTAGATGTCCACTCCTTCCTGACTCTCGCGAAGGTCGTGGCGCATGATTTCGCCGTCGACGCCGTAAGGACCCCAAACCGTCTCAGGAGCCAGGACACAGGTGTCGTTCTGGATGGTGGTGTACTTCAGCTCGTTTCGCTTGCTGTAGTTATTGTTGCCCTTGATCGCCGCGTCGGCGACTCGCCGCTGATAGAGCCTCTCGGTTCTTCTGGCGATAACTTCAGCTTTGCGAGCCTCAATCGCCCCGGCGCATTTGTTGGTCGAGCGGCCGATCAGCTTGGCCTCTCGCTTCGCTTTCTCAGGCGTCGTGTGGCGCTCCGGGTGCGCAAACACGCCCGCAACGCTGATCAATGCAAGGATAGGAGTGAACTTCATTATAGCGGCGGACCGGTGCAGTGAGTGATAGGATGTCCAACAACTACCGAGTGAGCGACTGGATATGAAAGAAAGACTAGGTAGAGCAGGGTGATGGGAGAAACAGCAATAAACACCGCGGCGTACTACCTCGCGGTTATTATATAGATACCACTTTGAGGCTCTGCATCCTCGTCTACATCAATCTATGTACATACTATCCCTATGTCTGCATGCGCGTTGCGTACACATACACTGCGCCCCTTGAAATGATGCTATCTCCCATTGTGGAGTTAAAGAATTTTTGTACCAATTATGTCATTCCGTATACAGGTTCTACAATAATAAACATGAAGAGTACGCATCAATTATAGAGACAGCTATAGTTGGGAGCCCTAAACGGCTTCCACATCGGGTGATCTTACGTGTCTTCGCGGCATCTACTGCTGGATACAGCAATTTAAGCCGAACAAATTTACGAAGCCACGATCGCGGGACGTGGGCGGCAGTTGATTCCGGTCATAGTGGAGTTGCGTCGGAACGTGGATAGAGCTGTGTAGGGTTTAAGATTGGTACATGATAATGATAATTTGGAGAAGCTTCTTTTAAACCCCTTCGTGAGCAACGATAAAAATACACATGATTTGCTGGCTCTACATATCGAACGACAGAAACCGTCCTACGAGTCGTACTATTGGCTCACCATTCTTTGGCTGAGTTTGACTAACGCCTGCGTCCGCAGAGTAATATAAGTATTTCGTTGGCCGAGATGCCCCATGTATATTATGGGTGTGGGCAGGTATTCGTAATAGCATTCATGCGATAGGCTCAATGGATCCATGTCCGTACGTAAACGCCATCAGCCTTACGCAAGTTATGGGGTACCCGACTAATCTCCTACTGGCTATGTATTTGACTGTGTATGAAGGCTTAGACGGCTATACTGTTGTATCCACACTGACTATTCGTGATGGCGGTAATAACATGGTATACACGCGTATAAGTGCGCGTGCGACACTCTATAAAAGAGTCTATATCATACCGCCATGATACGGTATACCGAATAGCATTGGTTCAACGTTAATCGACTAGTCGTTATACTACAACGAGTACCACGGAGGCCTGCATTCCCTCAAAACAAAGCTATATGCGCGTTGAAACGTGATGGAGAGCCAACTTCAAGGAGTATTGTGGACCGAAACTCACAAAGGTCTAGCGCGTGGCCCAACATTGGCTCTTGCTCATAACGGTGTGCAGACACTTCACAATGTCACTAGTTGAATTGAGTCAACTATGATGGTTTATAGTATTAATTACTATACGGACCTCGCTAACTTATATATCATCGCGTGGCTTGATGCCCAAGGTACCTTCACTTTCGCCTTATTCGCACCCCCAAGTTTATCTTATCTTAAGGCGAGAACGGTGGAGTTTGTCATGTTGAGGTGCTGAATCTCGAGATTTTCTCACAAGTCGCCATGCCTTCGTTGCGCTCCAAGATTGTGTCTCAAAGGACAGTAATCTGTGTTATTGTGCTGTGTGGTAGAAGCTAGGAGGCCGCCTGGGTATCGCAGGAGATATTGTCAAAATCACTGCGGGAACTGGGAGGTCTTCGGATGTGTAGGGAGGATAGGCGTAAAGTTGACACTAGCATTCTTGAGAAATAAATAAGCTCGGCATATCGTAAAACGGTTCTAGGAGAGAGATCAATACGAGCGCCTCATAGTGTCTGCCTGATCCGGATTGAAAATCACAGCTGGTTCCGGACAGTTGGTTTCTTATTCCGTATGCTGCATCTCGAGGATCCAGTCAGTTGGTAAATTATCGAGTAATTCAAACCATATCTTGCCATTAGAAAATGTACTTCGGATTCACGCTGATACTCTGAATTCCGTATCACCAAGTAACTCGGAAGCGGTGATGTAGGAACAGATGAATTCGAAGACTAGCCGACCATCATCTTGGGACGGAGCTGAATAGCAGGGAAAATATTGACCGTATTTGAAGGCTATCGAGAGTCTGTAGTGTTTGAGACGGCCTCATTCTCAGACGTTGGGCATTCTGTAGGTATTGATATCGTACCCTTGGGTAGGCCAGAATCTAGTACGGTAGGCCATGAAGTATTTGGTGATACTGAATTATGGTTTCAAGGTATACTTAGGAGATCGGTCAAGAGACCCGGCATTCCTATCAAGTCAAGAATGCTCATATTTACTTGAGAAATCGACCATGATGCTGGGAGCCATAACACATATCTAGCATCAAAAACTCGATACTCCCGCGTGCTATGTAAGTATTCAGCAAATACGTATCTATATGTAAGTATTAATATTAGAACTTTCAGAGTCAGAATGTGTTGCACATGCCCACTACGTAGTAACGTAGGTGAGTCAGGAGCAGAATCGTGACTCAAAGCAGAAGTGTCATGTAGTTGTATACGTACTTTATATTACTTAGCCAACAGAAATTCACCGTCGGAAAGCATCCATTGGTTGACGAGGTTTGCTAAGAAATGTTTGCTTTCTGAGTACCTATGTATTTCTGGGACCAGATACAGAATTATGGTAGTTACACAAGGCATCGAGTCGTATTGTCGAAGGTTTGGGCCAATGAGAATAATTCAACCAGTTGGTACGTATCTATGTAGTTGCTTCTGAAGTGAGGCTCTACTGCACCGCTGACTTACAAACCAATCGGGTGTTTGCCATTGTGTCGAGGAGACCAGATCGGTTCGAGTGGGTCCTGCCTTCTCATTCACCTATTGTAGGTACCTACATTGTCACCTTGTCCGGTTCTCTGCCTCAACAGAATTATTTATTTGTCCTTCTGTCCTCTTAGATCTTTTCCATCCCTTCTCTCTTCCACATCCAAACAACCAAATCAACCACCTTGGTCTTAACCACCTATAACTCTACTGAGCTTCATCACGCATCTCATCTATTACTCTTGGTTTCCATCCCTCATGCCAGACCATCATGATCATGCTTGTTATCCATCATCTTTCTCAAGTAACATGGTCTTTCCATCACCATCATTATCAACCATGACCATGACACTACTGTTGCTTGTCTAGCTTGACTATCTATCATTATCATTACCTAAATTCATCTTGGGTCATGCTTGACCAACGGTCGACTTTGATAATGAATCACATTTAGGTGGTCGAAATCTGCCTCTAAGGCACCAATAGGTAAGCCATTCCTTCAACGTTTAGTTGCTTTGCATAATCTATCCTATGCTCCTCTCTTCATATGTTCTTCTATATTTACGTAGCCTAGGCAACCCTCGCCTGTTCGATCAATAGGAGCAACAAAACAAAGCAAAACAACAAAATAAAACAAACAAACCTAAGCTCAAGGTAGCTTCAAGCTAGAACCCACACCAGCTGACTCGATCACCACCAGTAAGCCTTTCCATCCCACTATACTGCTAACCAACCAAGCAATATATTTTACTTGCCTCAAGTATCTAA